ATTAGAGTGGCACTGGCCATGCTTTGCAAAGGACGAGAAGGTATTTCAAAGGTGAACAGGCAGAAAGGCATTCATTGGGGAGGGGAGTTCTTTAAGGGGCAGCACTGTGGCTGAGCATGGCCTGACCGCCGTTTTCACGCTGGCTCATAGTGCTGCTCTGCTCAATTAGTGGGTGAAGTAAGTGTCCACTGTGCTGTGTGAGGAGGCTGTCAGGAAGGATGCTGACAGGTTCTTTGTGTTTCAGGATTACAAACTGCCTATTGCTCCCGGCTATGGTTCTTACCCTTGAGAAGACTGTGCTCTTGCTCTGTTTCAGCAATTTTTTTCTTATTATTAATTAAAAATTCCATTTTAATTTTTATTGAATTTTTGGGGTGACAGTGGTTAATAAAATGATGTAGGTTTCAGGGGTACAATTCTATCATACATCATCTGTATATTGTATTGTGTGTTCACCACCCCAAGTCAATCTCCTTCCACCACCATTTTTCCTACCTTTACTCTCTTCTGTCTCCCCCCGACCCTGTTTCAGTGATTTTTCAACCTTTTTCATCTCATAGCACACATGAACTAATGACTAAAATTCTGTGACACTCCAAAAAATAACCTGATCTGACAAAAGAGGGTGTAATTGTGATCCATTCACATCAGATGGCTGTTGTCATTTTTTAATTGGATAGTCTAAGGCAGTGGTTCTCAACCTTGGCTGCACATTAGAATTACCTGGGAATCTTTTTAAAATCCTGATTTCTGGGCCTCATCATTAGTAACAAAGAAACAGAATTTCCGGAGGATGAGGCCCAGAAATCAGGATTTTAAAAAGGTTCCCTGGTGATTCTAATGTGCAGCCAAGGTTGAGAACCACTGGTCTAAGGGGGAAGGTCAGTGCCCTGACTAAACAGTCATTATTGCATGTTTGAAACATTCTTGGGCACCCCAGTGTCCTCTTGTGACACACTGCTTGAAAGTCACTGCTCTATTTCTGCTGATTTGCTGAGCGTTGAGAAAGTAGGGCTTTCTTTGCCTTGAGAATTTGCCTTTACGTTTTGGCTGACTTCCTTCCTCAGCTTAGCATATGCTCTGTTGTTTGCAGATGGTACAATAGATTCTTGGACACAAAGCTGTGTTGAGGTTTTGCGAAACAGCCAGAAACACCCCTGTTCGGTGTCATTGCCCAAATCATGGATGCAGGATTTGAGGTCATTAATCGTGGGATCCATTCCCAGTCAGAGGCTAGATGTTAGAGAATAAGTCTTAACCTAGACCCATGGTTTCATTTCCACACACCCCTATACAGAAAAAATTAGTTATCATGTGTTGTTTGGCATAAATGATATAGATGGTAATAGCCTCTTATTTTTCTAGCCCATTTCAGACTTGCTGATTTTAAGATTAATATATATATGTATTTGCCCTGCAACCGCCGTTAGCTCAATCTGATAAATATACATTTTCATATGGGTAATTTTGGAAATGTGCATTATGCACTTAATGGATTGCATCAGCTTTGCGCAGTTCTTCCAGGCTGCTAGCTTTCTGATTTAAAACAAAAAAAGCTCTTTAAAAAAATAAATAAAAGGTGTCTGCAGTGCTTGTGTTGGTCATGGGGGATTTTCAGGTTGAGGATCATTGAGACCAGCTTCAGATAATCCATGCACTCATAAATTGCATGAAAATTCTTAGAAAATAATTTTGGCTTTAAGCAATTACTGGTCATATAATCCAACTGAAAATTTAACATTGCTCTTGATTTAAGTTCTCATCTTTCCCCTTCCAAATAAACAGCTTTATTTGGGGGCTAACTATAGACATCTATATAAAGTTATTTTCTTAAATAGCTGCTTAATTAATGAGATAAGGGAAATATTCATATTCTTATGAATATTTGGCCTTATTTTGTTTTGAAAATCATTAAGAAGAATAAGCAGATTTCTGTGTGTATGAGACTTAAATTCCAAATGGTTTCTTAGACTAAATTCTTTTAGTTGGATCACCCTAATTTTTATGGGTTATAAAGAAAAGTTATAGAGATCACTTAATACAGTAACAGATTACTAGCCTTGGGCATTGGACTCTCATGTGAATTTATAGCTTTGGATCAATTTGGGTTGCCATGATAACTTATTTATTTATTTTTAAAAGCACTCTTTTGCTTTAGAAGCAAAGCCAAATTTTTTAAAAATATATTTTTATTGATTTCAGAGAGAAGGGAGAGAGAGAGATAGCAACATCAATGATAAGAAAGCATCATTGATTGGCTGCCTCCTGCACGTCTCCTACTGGGGATCCAGCCTGCAATCTGGGCATGTGCCCTTGACTGGAATCGAACCAGGACCTTTCAGTCCGTAGGCCGCGATTCTGTATGCACTGAGCCAAACTGGCTAGGGCCCATGGTAACTTTTTAAACAGAAAGAAGTGACTGTTTATCTAGTAATAAGTCATTAGTAAGTAAATATGTTAATTCCATATGTCAGATTTGAGAATCTGCTCTCTGCCTTATCCCCTCATGGAAGTGTTTCATAAGTCAGGAGTGTGAGGAGGCTTCCAATAAGACTGCAGATAAGTGTTTAAGCAAAGGGATGTCATCTGTATATTGTATTTTGTGTTCATCACCCCAAGTCAGGTCTCCTTCCATCACTATTTTCCTCCCTTTACTCTCTCTTATCTCCCCCCGCCCCCCATTTCAGTGAGGACTTTCTTCATGGTTGACCTTTATTCCCTTCTCTAACAGTTACATCCAGATGTGTTTACAGGTAATCATTTTCCTGAATGTCACTTGGCAGTGAGAGATGAGAGAATATAGGTTCTCTCTTTTTTTTCTGGAAAGTGTTTTTACACACTACAAATTAATAACTGCTTTGTGTCTCAGTAAGAGGACTTATAGTAATAATGATTCTATTGATTCTGAAAAGTACATAGAGAGCTTTTCTTTATGTAAAAAGAACAAAGTTGCCCATAGTTTTCACTATCTAAGCATCTGTCATATTGAATGCCAGGCACCAGTTCTCGGTGGTTGCAGAGAACACTAAAGTGAGTAAGTTTCTCTGAGTTCAAAGCTCAACAATAGTAATGTGGACAGTGCAGACCATCTGACTGCCAAATAACTGAACAGACAGGCAACGTAAATTGTTAATTTTATGTAAAAGAAAGGAGATGTTTCTTTATAGAGGAGCCATGAGAATTCACTGCTGCTGGAGGTGACTCGTTATAAGGTTGCAGGTGCTGGCAGAATGAAGGAGTGAAAAGGTTTGGCATGGGTGGAGGTAGTGGTGTTGGTGTTTCTTTTGTAGAATGCAGCCTAGTGGAAGATGAGATGTGGTGGATGTGGTATGGGATCAGACCACTGAATATGGAAAATTTTTGTTATGTGGGCTTTAAGAACGGGTAAGTCATTCGTTAAGAAAATGACCTGTTAATTTTGAAGCCAGTGAATAGTAGCTAGGTATGACAGTGTTATGTATGAAATAGGAAGAAGAGGGCACATACACTGTCCTTTGTGTTCAGGTTGAGTGGGATGAGTAAATAATTGATATCTAGAGATTTGACATACAGGTACAATAGGGATTAGAACACAGACATTAAGACCCTTAGGTGTCCCAAAATTGTGCAGATTGGAGCTATAGTTTTTACTTAGGAATGGATTTCTTCTGTTTTTGTTTTTTAAATGTTTTTATTGATTTTTAGAGAAAGAGGAAGGGAGAGAGAAAGAGAGATAGAAACATTGATGAGAGAAACATCCATCATCGATTGGCTGCCTCCTGCACCCCCCCACTGCAGATTGGGCCCACAATCAGGGCATGTGCCCTGACCAGGAATTGAACCAGTTATCTCTTGGTGCATGGAATGATGCTCAATCCACTGAGTCACCCCAGCTGGGTGGATTTCTTCTGCTTTTACTTGAATACCAAATACGAGATAGGAAGAGAGATATGTGCCATAAGCATGTTAAATGGATGTTGCCTGAATGTTGAATAGAGTTATTTAGCATCCTGGATTCTGGAACAAGCTAGAAAAGCTTGGTCAACAGTTCATTCATACATACAGGGATTGACTCTCTGTTGTTGAGTCTACATCTGTGTAGAGAAATCAGTTGGGAACTTCTGGATGCCTGAAAATGAGTCCTTCTCTTTCTGGAATGGCTTTGGGCTACAAAAATCCTGATGTCTTTCAGAAAGTTTTTTGGAAGGAAGTGTCCCTTTAGTGAGGACTTTCTTCATGATCTGTGTCCTAGTGGTCTGCTAGCACTGTGGTGGGACTGGACTGTCTACTGGGTGGATGGCTCCAGATCTTGGCTCCTTTGCTATTTCTTGACTCTTAACATGTATGAAATGCGGCAGTAGAGGAACCTGCCTGAGTTCTCAAGGATCTGAGTTATTCTAAGACATCTCCGTTATGAAGGGTCAACAGGAAAGATAAAACAAAGGACGTTTTAAATGTGGGCATTATGGCCACTCTCTAGAAAATGTGATTGCCTGCAGATGCTTTTACTTCCCAGTAAACAATACATGACCTTCTTATCCTAAACTTTACAATGATCTTGGATTGTAATGGGAAGAGTTTTTATATTTCTTTATAACCACTGCTTCCTTTAATATCACTGCTTTTAAAAAAAACAACTGTATCTCAACTTGTCATTTTATCTATCTATCTATCTATCTATCTATCTATCTATCTATCTATCTATCTTTGTTGATTAGGTATTACATATGTGTCCTTATCCTCCCATTGCCCCTCCACTCATGCCCTCACCCCCCTGGTGTCTGTGTCCATTGGTTAGGTTTATATGCATGCATACAAGTTCATGCATATAAACTTACCCCTTACTCCCACCCTCCCCTACCTTCCCTCTGAGGTTTGACGGTCTGATCGATGCTTCTCTGAATCTGGATCTGTTTTTGATCATCAATTTATGTTGTTCATCAACTTGCCATTTTAAAAAGCAGCCTTTAGACTGCGCAGTTGAGAGCAGCAAACATAATTATTCAGGCCCTGCCGGTCAGATGCAATGTAAGAAAGTGCTCTTCTTCCAGAGGAAAATGTAATTTGGTTTACTTCATTCCATCTCTGATTGGCTGCCTTGTTTCTCTTTACAATTAGAAAGTAAAGTGTGTTTAGGTTAAAATTTATAGGGAAAAGATCATTGTAATGGCATGTTCAAGCTAGTCGTCTTTACATTTCACTTCTTTCCTCACAAAATAATAATTGAAAATAAAGTAGCACTTGGTCAAGCCATTTCTCTTTGTAATGACGAGGCATCTATTTGAATAAGATATTCAGGATTTTGTCTTGGTAGCAAGATATTCAGGTTTTGTCTTGGTGGGTAAATTTGAGCAAGTACCTTCAACTGAATGTGGATACTCCCATGGGATTTCCTCCTCCCCCTTCTTCAGGGACCCTGAAAACAATAATTGAGGTTTTATCAAGTTTTTTAAATTAACGGAAAAGTGGTAAAAAAAAAAAAAAAGCCCAAGGGCTGTTTCCCTTTAGCTTAAAATTACTAGTAATTTAATATTCTCTGAGAAAAAAATTTCCTTAAAATGTATGTGCTTTGTCATTTATTTATGTATGCAGTGGCTTTATGGGCCCTGTCTTTGTTCCCTTAAAGGTAAATGCCATTGTTTTAAAATTTCTTTTTCTTTTAAAGACTGTGTGTATATCGAGAGTCGGAGACCAAACACACCGTATTTCATCTGTAGCATTCAAGACTTCAAACTGGTAAGCATTTTTTTCACGTGCTCTTGATTCTGCTCTGGACCTTCTCTTTCCAGTTCCTCTGGCTGTCTCATGGTGGCTTGTCTCTCGTATTGATTTTATAACCAGTTTACCTTCTTCAGTGCTAACGCTCCCTGCTGGCTGTAGCACTCACAGAAGGCAGTCACCAGTTTTATCTTCCCCGTTTTGTGACACTTAGATTTACAAAGCTCATATTGTAAATAATGTGTGTAAAGTTTCCTTCCTCTCATAGGTGTTTTGACATCAATTTCCGAGATTCCCTTGAGTTTCTGAAGTAGTTTGTTTCTTCTCAGCCATTGGGAAGAGCCTGAAGAAGAGTAATTTTGGCATTTGATGATTGGAGAAAAAGAATGTACATGGGCCAGAGACTGGTTTCGGTGGTGACCATAATTAATTTACTTAGATATTTTAGTGAGTATGGAGTGACTCTTGAATCTTTTTTTGGGGTCTCCAAGTAGTGGAGGTTGGAAGTCTGGCTCAGTACTATAGCTATAGTACTTTCTCATTAAAAACTTTTCCTAAGTTCATTAAGTATTGATGTTGCCCGCTATGATCTCTTTGTTTCGGACCAGTGGTCCCCACACTAGGGGTTTTAGATCCCTGGATATCTGTAGAGATTTTGCGAAGGTCTGCAAGTAAACATTCTCAGTCTTAAATAAATGTACCTCACACATCTGTGCAATGCTTTTCACATGTATGAATATGCTGCTGTGGTTTTAAAAATTTACTTATTTAATGATAATATGCACTGAAGAATCCCTGTTTATTAGGTATTTTCCTCAAGCGGTTGATAAGTGAAATACTACTGAAGTACTGTTATTTGGGGATCTTTTGAAACATTTAGATCTTAAAAAGGGATCCCTGTACTTGAAGGATTGTGACCACTCTCTACTTTTAGGTGTAGAGAAATCCTAATCCTAATTTGTAGAGATTTTATCAGTGTCTGTGACTGTCCTTATTTCAAAAACCCTTTGAAACGTTTGGCAATTCATTATATGTGATATTTCAGTCTAAGGAAAAGTAATGCAGTGGTCTGAAGAGATCTTTAACTCTCCATCTTCTTTGTTTCTGATGCCCCAAATATCTAACTAGCATATTCCAATTTAGTTAATAAGTGCATGCCGTTTATTTTTTTTTCTTAAAAAATTACTGCATAAGTAATACATGCTTACTGTTATAAAAGAAAGTCAAATGTGCCATTTACTCCCAAGGATTACACTTGGTAAACTGCTTTCAACCTCCTTGCATGTTTTGCAAGATGGCCTTGCAGTTTAATCTTGTAAAAATCAAATGCTTTTTATTCAGATTTTATGTCAACACAAAGTTTTATTATTTTAGAGGTCTTTGTTATTTGTTACATGTTTCCTTTCAAATATTTTTTACAGAAGCTACACTGACATTTGAAAATCTGGGCGGTGGCCTTGTTTCCTGAAGAGTTTTGTTTGGCTGGTGGCTGCTGCTACTGCTCTTTTCCTGGTCACTGTCTTTGTGTGTGATTTTTACCAAATGGAATACCAGTGCACCATGGAAAAGATACAGCTGTGAAATAAAATTGCAAAGATTTTTCTTTTACCTTTTAGAACCTGAGCCCCTTTTGTACAATTTGTGCACAATGGCTGGTGCCTTCATGTTTGTACAGTGTTGCTTATGAAATGCTGATTATAATGTGATAGTCCAGGGCAGAAGTTCCTGCTGAGTTATAGTAATTGCTCAGGGTATTAACAGCAATAAAAGCTGAAGCTTCTGTTGTCAGTATTGGTCTAGTACAGCACATTAAAGCTGTATGCAAAAACAATGTGGGAAAAGGGTAGGGTGCAGTATGTTAAGATACCTTTTTCTAAATCACACACTGCTATGCCTTATGGGTTTTTTTGTGGTTTTTTTTTTTTTTGAGTTCTGTATTCAGCACACATCATAGTTATGTAAAAATAACAGTGATATTGAAATATTTACTACTGGAAGGATGTAGTTATCGTCTGGATATCCGCTTTCTCTTTCCTTGGTTTTCAGTGCTATTTACGAAAAGGTAACCTAATAGAGGAGAATAATTATAGGTTGTTTTTTTCTTCTTCAGCTTATACCCAAGCTATAGGGGAAAGGAAAGGATGAACAGAAGGAAATATGCTTTTTTTTTTATCCTCTGCAAGATTTTAAAAAGAAGAAATTGGAGTTGATTTTGCCCACAGGAAATACCATGCATGACAAGTGGAACAATGGAAAACAAAAGCCAATAGCTTTGAAATGTTGTTGATTATTTTATCTTTATTTGGTTTGGGGTTGTAACTAAAATGTATTTCTTTGTTTATACCACTGATTATAATTAATCCTTTTACCATGGTGAGTTTGTGAATATAGTTATATTTGGGGACTGTAAAAAGAATTGGGCGAATGCCCCTTATGGTACATGTTAGCTAAGAGTACAGTGTTAAACACATCAGAGACTAAAGAATTGAGAAGTGGACTTAAGGAGACAACTACCACTAGTCACTAGCACAATGCCAGTGTATTGAACTGAGGATCCTGGGTAAGAAGGGTCTTTGGATTTTATGCAGGGATCTGATTGTCTTCCCATAGATTCTGAGTCCATGATATGAAACATAGCTGCTTCTGTTGACCAGGTTTACATCTGTTGTCCTGGTAAACTATTAAACGGTGTCCCTTTTCACTTAAAGGTGTCCCTATTGGGGTGACAGGTTATATGGGGATGGGATTCATGGCTTCCATTTTATTAACACTTAACCATCAAAACACATACATAAGGCCTCTCTGTCCTACATTGGTAGATCTATTTAGAACCTGCACTTCCACAGGGGTAGGTGAAAGCTATGATGTTGCAAAAAAATTGAGTTCCTAACAGAACTGAGGTTTTTGGAAGTAGCATTTTCAAGGGAAGGGAATTATTTGTTCTATTCGGATGCTTTCATTCTCTTTGGAAGTGTTCATTAGATGGGCTTATTTACAAATGGGGAGACTGGGTTTGTTTGACTACAATGGCAGAAGTATCTGTGGAACATGTGAAAAGCAGGGGCAGGAGAGGGAAGGTTGAATTATGGACAGTGTATGCTTAGAAGCAGGAAGAAAGAGGGATCATCAATTAAATAAGGCAGCTTTACACCTTAGGCTTCTGAATTAAATATTAAAGCAGTTGGCAAAGTCTTTAGCTCTTGGAAAGAACAGTGATGTGGAATGGCAATCTATGATCTTTGTGGCCTGACTTGATGAACTGAGAGACTGAGTAGCTAGCAGGGAGGGCAAAGCTAATGGGATGAGTCAAGAATTGCCTCAGTGAGAGGGGGTTGGGGCAGGCATAGCAGGTCATAGGCAGGCTGGTGTGATGGGCAGGACGCCAGGGACAGCAGAGGGTTGAAACATGCAGAGCTGAGGGGGAGAGTGCTCGCCTCCTTGAGCTCTCCGGATGCGGCTTCCAGGTGGAGTGAGCGTTCCCCTCAGTGAAGCCTCTTCTTGGCCAGTTTGAGTTGATCTCAGTAATTGCAACTGCAAGAGCTTAGCATACCACCCTCCACCCTTTCTTCTGCTGCACTCCCATAGCTTTTCTGGTCACTGTGTGACTTGGTTTCTTTTTTTTTTTTTTAAACATATATTTTTATTGATTTCAGCGAGAAAGGAAGAGGGAGAGATAGAAACATCAATGATGAGAGAGAATCATTGATCAGTTGCCTCTTGCAAGCCCCCCATTGGGGATCGAGCCCCGCAACCCGGGCATGTGCCCTTGACCGGAATCGAACCTGGAACCTTTCAGTTCCCAGGCTGATGCTCTATCCACTGAGCCAAACCAGCTAGGGCGTGACTTGGTTTCTTAGAGAATTTTGTTTCTGAATGAGTCGGTATCACCAAGGAGCATTATATGCCAGAGTGCAATTAAGAATGTTTTGGGTTGGCCCTAACCGGTTTGGCTCAGTAGATAGAGCATCGGCCTGCGGACTGAAAGGTCCCAGGTTCGATTCCGTTCAAGGGCACATGTACCTTGGTTGCAGACACATCCCCAGTAGGAGGTGTGCAGGAAGCAGCTGATCGATGTTTCTCTCTCATCGATTTTTCTAACTCTCTATCCCCCTCCCTTCCTCTCTGTAAAAAAATCAATAAAATATATATTTTTAAAAAAGAATGCTTTGGGTTGTAATCAGGGCCTTTGACAAGCATTTATTGAAAACTTACTTTGTGTTCTTTGCTGGGTGCAGCACCATAATGGGGGCTGAAGAATGTGAGATCTAGTTCCTTCCCTCTGATTGTAGGTTCTAAGGACAGACAGCAGTGGCGTTTTTGGATATCAGTCCTCTTTGGAGAACATTGAATAGGATTGATGTGGGGGAAGACATTCAGTTTTTGTCCCCAAGAAAGATTTCTTTCTTGCTTTTACTAAAAAACAACAAAATTCCATATTTATAGAAACCCAGGCCTTAGCATAATAGAGTTAATTTGCTATCTAGAAATAATCATGGATTCTGAGAATGCTCAACAAGAAGATCACTGAGATTAGTAATTTCCATTCAGTATAATACCCAGGAGTTTCTGGTCTGGGTCTAGCAGTAGTAGTTCATACCTAAGTCTTCATTCACAGGTAAGTAATCGAAGCTGTTCCTTTAATATTCCACATGGGAATTTTGTGTGGATTCTTAATGAATTTCTGTCATTTATACAGCAGAAAAAGTATGATTTTGGTTTCTTTGAGTTACAGTTATCTATTCTTCAGTTGTTATATGAAATGAGTTTTCAGGTAGGATATATAATTATTACAAGTATTATTTTGAGCAAATAACATTGATTCACTGGGCTCTTATTTGGTTAATTAAAACTAGGAAAGTTATTAAATTTATACCTGGTCTAAACATCCCTCAGAGTTGGGGATATGTCATTAAGAATATTATGGTTATATCCAGTTTACTGTTTAGGGCCCAATGTGTTGCTATGGCTCTGCATGGATGAGTGTGCTGTTCTATCATTTATGTCCCTAACAGTTTAAGTCCTAAGTACTGATTGTGAATGCAGAATAGCTAAATCCTTAATGTGCCACTAGTTATCTTGGAGAAGGCACATCTCCGTTACTGCTGTGAATGTGGGGGCCAAATTATTCAAGATTTCAATTTCCCTCTTTGTTTCATTGCCAAATGTGAGCAGCAGGGAGAGTAGCATTGGGAATTTCTTTCTGATTCCTGGTTTGATAGGGTTACACCCCAAGAGCTGATCACAACAAATCGCAACTGCAGAAAAGTAGCTTTAGCTTAGGTTCCATTTACTATTAAAATTGCCCTCTCTACCCCAAGTTGAATTTCTCAGAAGTGGAATAAAAGTAAGAACCTGCTATTCGTGCTCACTTCGGCAGCACATATACTAAAATTGGAACGATACAGAGAAGATTAACATGGCCCCTGCGCAAGGATGATACGCAAATTCATGAAGTGTTCCATAAAAAAAGAAAAAAAGAACCTGCTATTCCTTCTTTAAAATGGAAACTTATTGAGGATAAGTAATTATATCCTCTCATTTTTTGTTAGAGATCTTTACATAGGTAATGCTGGGAGGTGTGAGAGACACATTTACATGCACCCTTTGTGCGTACATACATGTGTATACACAATGAGTTAGTTATCATTATACACCATTTTAATATTAGGTAATTCTTATATTAAAACTGTTCTGGGGGTGGGCAGGATGTCCACATTAATTTGAACATGGCTAACTCAGAATTTGAGATGCTTTTCTGGGACTGAGATTAGGGATGGAACAGTGCATGGATTGACAGCTTGAGCTTGACATCAGTTTGTTCCATCAGTTGCTCTCTTTCATGACTTTGGGCAAGAAACTTAATCCTCCTAACCTTATTTTATTTACTTATGAAGTTGGGATATACAGCACCTGTCTTGTAGGTAGATTGTTTTTAGGTTAAAAGCTAAGTCTACAAAGTGGATAGTAGCACAGTGCCTGGGCCATGGAATGACAAAGATCATGATGTTGATGTGTAGCTTTAAGCTTTGTGAGGGCAGACATCACACCAGTTTTATTCATTGGTGTATACTGAGCACTTAGCATATTGCCTAGCCCACATAAGATCCACAGTAAATATTTATTGAATATTGAATGAAGTAACATTTCAGTGGAAGGAATTCACTGGGTAAAGTTTTTTAAAAACGTTAGTAATAGTTTGATACAATGTTTGCATTAGCTACAGATTAACTTTCTGTTTATTAAACAAGCCAAAGAGATCTGCTTCTTTACATTTTGTTTAAGCTTGCAATGTGTAATATTTTCTATACTTAAATAATAAAACTCTATTCTTAAAATACTTTAAAACTCAGTTTCTTATTTTCTTCAGGAAGTTTACATAAGGGTAGCCAAAGTCATAACATTGATTAGGTATTACTATAATGTTTTGAGTTTTCTATAATACTTTTAGCAAAGATAAATGAGGGCTCAGTACATATGTAAACATCCCAGAGAAGGCCAGCTTATAGGAAAAATGCCTTACGTATGTATGATGATTCATTTCTCTGCAAAGCAACGGTTGTCTGTCTTGTTTTTCATAGTCCCTCAAGTCAGGCCTGCAGAATTAGTATTTCTTTTTATAGTGCTTTCTTTTCGTTCCCCACAAGGTCAGTACTACCCAGCTGCAGCTTTGTTACTTGAGTGTAACGTTGGACAAGGAAGTGAAAACTGTGAGGTTTGTTATCAAGTGTTTTCAATTTTCTGGAGTGAGGAATGAAGTGTTACTTTAAGAGATAATGGGATGTAGAGCTGAGAGGATTCTTTAAGAGGAGTTGCTCCTTTCTGTTGGTTTAGTTTTCACCTGTCAGGAGTGAGTACGTAGCGTGGCAGCCCTCTCCTACAGTGATTTCTCAGCCAAGAAAAGGTGTGTGTTACTGATTTGGTGCTAGACCAGTGGTTCGCAACCTTGAATGCACATTAGAATCACCTGGGAATCTTTTAAAAATGCTGATTTCTGGGCCCCATCCTCCGGAAATTCTGTTTCTTTGTTACTAATGTTGTGGCCCCACCCCATAACAAAGAAACAGAATTTCCGGAGGATGAGGCCCAGAAATCAGCATTTTAAAAAGATTCCCAGGTGATTCTAATGTGCAGCCAAGGTTGAGAACCACTGTGCTAGAGGATTCTCAGGGAGGGCCACAACTTTTTTTCTTTCTTCTATGTTTAAAATAAAGGTCATGGTTGCTTAGATGTTTCCATAGCATTGTAATTAATAAACTACAATGGGGTGTTGGGCTTACTCAATGCTATGTTTGGAGTAAGCCACCAATAATAAATACACTAAGTCCTCACTTAACATTGTTGATAGGTTCTGTGAGTTTGAGGGGAATGACATACAGTATAACAAAACCAGTTTTACCACAGGCTGATTGATGTAAACAAGCATTAAGTTCCTAAGACTTCTCATCAGTGTTATAATGAAATGAAGATGAACAAAAAGAGGACCTGCTGTATGTGTTCCCGTACTGAGTGTCTTTTTCACACGTAAATTTGATGTTATTTGTATTTAATCCTGTAATAGGCAAGTGTAGGATGAAATCTCTTAGTCAGATGAGGTGATACTGGATCTTGGCTGCTAACTCGTCCCCCAGTTCTGGAGCAGTCATGTTGAGAGTTATTTTGAATCACCACAACCATTTTGCATGATATGAATGTCAGCTTATAAATGGCGGGGTGGTATTCACGTACGTGAAAATCAAAATGAGGCTTTGGGAATAAATAATCTCAGAGCACCTATTGGCCCCATTTATTCAGCTTCTCATCGATCTGTTTTCACTCATGACTGACAGTCATTATAGACCACATGGGATTTAAAGTTTTAATGGTTCATGGTTACTGTGAAGTTGGTAATTCATTTTGTTCTAATTTATATGGATTTTAGGACTCTTAAGAAATCACTGGAAAAGTTTTACTTAATTATATTTATTGTCATAAAATACTTATCTTAAATGTTATTTACTAAGCCTGTTCTCTATACGTGAAATTTTTTCAATGCGGAAGACTCTAGGTATTCTAATTGTTTAAAAAGGAGCTTAGGAAAGTTTGAGACAATTTGATATTTGCAGAGATCTGCTGTGCAAGAATATTTGTAAAGCCTTGTCATTCAAACTCAATTCCATACAACTGGAAATTTGTAATTTGGATGTGGATGTTTGTGTTAAAAACCAGGTCAAAATAGTCTAAAAAGCTTATTAGAACTGAAATAAAATGAGGGAAACGGAGATACTGTGTCAATGTTTTCTGATTCCTAAATAAGAACAATGATATGCTTTGAAATGATGCCTTTTTAAATGCTTAAAATATTTTAATCATTACCTGAATTTTTGCATATTTAAAATATTGTCAAGGTGCTTAGAAATTATTTACTAGGTGTCTTTGTTTAAAGCCCTTGATTTGAATGTATAAGGATTTGAGTGGTCTGATTAATTGAATTTCTAGTGAAGAGATTAACCACAAATTTATTTCTATTTGATGCTTATGGTAAAAAATATTGAGTATACTTTACATTCTTGTACACAGTTGAATCTTTGATTTGGAATCTGTACTGTTGGTATGGGGAGGGGGAGCTGTGTGGTGGAGAAGGTTATGACTACTAACACTTGATTTAATCACATATTGTAACCAAGACGGTGGGAGCCAGAGACTGACCACACACCAAGCGTGGGGCCCAGGATGTGCTGTAGAAGGTGATCTGTAGAGAGGGAAAGAAGACCACCATGATAAAGACATTCCCAATATTAGCTTACTTTCTTGGGGTTTGTCTTTTTTGTTTGTTAGACATAGACATTAAATCTTGAATTATAGGAAGTTGTTAGAGAATGATTCTTTGCTTCTCAAAAGGAGTTAATGTGACAGGACTCCCTAAAAAGATTTAATATTAAAAAGTTTGCTTATCTGTAATTTTTAAACAACTTTAAGAACAGAAATCTTATATAAACATTTGAGTTTTATGATGTTTTTAGTTCATTTAAAACCTCATGAAATTGAATTGTTAGTGGGGTTTTTTTGGAAATGTTATTGCTCTCTAGAATGTTGGAAAGGGATCATATTCAAACTCTTAGATATCTTTTTTGATACTTAAAAGAATTGTGCTGGCTTTCAGAAGTTGCTCTCTAATCATTTGCTGGTTTTAAATTTTTCTAGTTTCTTAAAAATACCAAACTGGTTTTGCCCCTAAAAGAAATAATATCTTTCTTGAACTTTATGCTCTATGCCTGTTCATTGTACTTACCTTGTGGGCATTGGAGAAAATGGAAACTTATTTGAATGGTGTCTTTTTTCCTCTGGTGTTAAGCCTTTGTCTTTCACCTTGCCTGTAGTTTTCCCAAATTAAATAAGGACTTTCAGAAAATGGTAGGATCTTTCTTTGAAACCCCTAATGCCTTGAATATTTCCTTATTAAGTACATGCCTTATGACTCTAGCATCTCTCATTAGAAACGCTTCTGAAAGCTCGCTTCGTCCACTTGGGGTTCATTTTTATTATAAGCAAAGCATGCCACTGTCACTGTGCTCGGGCACTGTGTCATCTTACCTTGGTTATTTGAGGGGCACACACCATACTGCTTTGTGACAGGATCCAGGTTAAAGTGTAAAGCTGGAGGGTCATGTGTCTGTTCACGCTGAGCGAATGAAGGAAACGGTTTTGATTCATGCAGAAAGGTTAACTTTAGTGGTCGAACAAATTCTCTGAGATTTCAGACGCCATCTGCTAAAGGATTTGTGCAGATGCTTGCTTGTGTGCTGGGTGCCCCTAGTAACCAGGGCATGAGGGGACATTGGGCATGTTAACTTAAAACTTTTTTCTTTTTTAGGTCCACAACTCCCAGGCCTGTTGCAGATCTCCAACTCCTGCTTTGTGTGACCCCCCAGCATGCTCTCTGCCGGTGGCGTCACAGCCACCACAGCATCTTTCTGAAGCCGGGAGAGGGCCTGTAGGGGTAAGGAGAATCCCGTTTTTAAAAGCTGTCAATATTTTATATCCCATAGGGTATAAAATAGGAATATTACCTCCCTCCCCAGAGCCCCTTTAAAAATGTGCTGTATTGTATGTGTTTTTAAAGGAGTAACAAGTACATGCACAGAGGAAGCAAAATACGGGACTTACCTTACCCCTCTAGGACAGTTCCAGAAGTTAGCGGGGTTTGTGGTGTAGGGTATTTTGGCACCAGCAGAGAGCATGCTGGGCTGCTGCAAGGAGCAGGAGCTGGCAATCAGCAGCGAGTATGGATGTTGGCAACTGAAAAGGGGGAAACAGGGGGTAAGTTTGAGACCAAGTGGAATGTGCATCTCCCCAGGACCATTGGGACTCGTGGCCCACAAATCTAAGCTGTTTTGGGTGCTGTCCTCTCAGGTAAAGTTTTGTAGAGTATTGCTCAGAAGTAGCTAGGCTTTTCTGCAGGGCAGATACAGACTAAAACACTGAAAGGCATGGGTTGGGGTGTAGGTAATAGTACTCTCAGCGGTACTCTGCTAATTCCTCTGTTACCTGGTGGTAGTGTGGGATGTGTGTGAGATGTAGCAGGATGAAATGTCCCTAGTTAGTTATCCCTTAGAACACAGGACCCGGTGTACGATCTCGGAGGGCTGGTTCTGTCTTCTGTCTTACCTTTTCTGAAAGCTGTGTACATACCTTTCCTTTTTTCCCCTTTATTTGTGAGGATTGAATGGTAAAGCTTTCTGAAAGATAGGTGTTATTGTTCTGATCAACTGCTGTGAATCACTGAAGAAATAAATGTAAGACCTGTCTTTCTCCTGCATGTAATCTGACCAAACTCATACTCAGAAAATGACACAAGAAAATAGTCATTCCAGATGCACACGCGCTATACAAGATCCTGGGAATGTGTAATGAATTGTTCCGTGGCAGCGTAGAACATTCATACCTTGAGACTAAGAGAAGAGAGTGCTCCAAACGGACGGTAGAACTGGGAAAGTTTTGTGATGAGAGGTCGGTTTTGAGGAGCTGGTTATGTTTTTGATACATCAGTATCCTGTGGCCAGGCAGAGTGGAGGGGCCTTCCAGATGTACATGTCAGCTTGTCCCTATAAGCAACATAGACAATGAGCCTGGTGAAGCTGGGAGTTGTGAGAAGACCACAGGACGTCAATGAAGAGCACAGGTTAGTGGGACTTGGGAGGCAGAGGTGGGGCTGGATCATAAAGGATCTTAAAGGTTAGAAAAGGTGAAATTTTATGTGATAGTCGGAAGAGAGCCTTTGCAGCCTTTTTTATTTCCTGTAAGCCGATTTGCAAATCACTGCTTAAGAAGATTCATTGGGAAGCAGAATGCTGTGTGCAGTGGGGAAAGACTGAAAGTTCCAATTAGGAGGCTAGGGCTGTCATCCATGCATAAAATGAAGAGGACCAAGACAATAGAGATGGGATATTAATAATTGTAACAAAATCAGGAATAATTGTCACAACAACAATTTCATGTTTGGGTAATTGCCAGTGTAATTTATCAAGAATTAGACCAGAAAAAAGGTTCACATTATGGAAGCCTTGGAATTATTGATATAATAGCCATTCACAATGTAAGATAAAACCCTGTGTAGTGGATAAAAGTCTAATTTTAATCCCTGAAGAGAGAGATTGACATTTTAAGGGACAAATTAGCAGAGTCCTGACTTGACTACCTATTTCAAAAGCTTCAGCCTTTACCACTTACCATCTTATTTCCATATGTGTCTAAGAAATGGCTGTTCTCTTTCAGGCTGATTGTTTCTCTGTTCTCTAATCAGTGTGGATGTCACTGTTAGACTGTTTCATTTCCACAATACTCACCAACCAGGATTTGCTAAATAGATTGAAATTTTTTCCAATAACAGTAAACTTGTTCTGTGAGCATCAGTGATGGCCACTATTTAATTTTTAGCAGTGAAAGTGTTGTGGTCACTGAGGATTTAAATAAGTTTATGATTGGTGGTGGACTCAGATACCATCATATGAAGGCTTGAGAAGATTCTGTAATAAGATGATAAATCTTTTAGTCAAGATGCTGCTGCTAAAGCTAACTGTATTGATTGTTCTGTAACAATGCTTCATGCTGCCAAAGTCATTTGAGCTGGATCTGAATCGGATCCAGTTGGCAAAGCCCCCTCCCACCCCCCCTTGTGTGGGGCTCTCATAAATTCTGCAGGCACACAGATCTGATACAGTGTAATGAGAGAGCTGCTGGGGGAAAATTGATTACAGGGTTGCAGACAATATCATTAATGTTTCTTGCCATGATACACCAGATGTCTTTGCTAATAGACTATTTTTGTTAATTTAGTTTTTATACCATGGCATTGCTTGCATCATAATTTAACTTGCTTTGCATATTCAGGTATATGTGATCTGTGTTTCTACACTAATAGATGTATCAGCTCATAAGATTTAATTTTATAAATTTCTAACTTATTGACCATTTTTAAAGTATTTGTACTGGAAAGGCAATATTTTTACTTGTTATTGAGAATCCGTTAGCTTGGATGTTTTCTAGCAAAAAGTACTGTGTTTACTGGTAGTTCGGGAGTAGTGAGGGAGATGAGATGGCAAAGAAAACATTGCTCAGATCCTCAGTAGACGGGGCAGAGATGGTCCCAGTGCAAGGTGGTGTGAATGGCACGAGAAATTCTCCAAAGCAGAAATGGTGCAGCCATTTTATTTTTTTTAAATATATTTTATTGATTTTTTACAGAGAGGAAGGGAGAGGGATAAAGAGTTAGAAACATTGATGAGAGAGAAGCATCGATCAGCTGCCTCCTGCACACTCCCCACTGGGATGTGCCCGCAACCAAGGTACATGCCGTTGACTGGAATCGAACCTGGGACCCTTCAGTCCGCAGGCTGACGCTCTATCCACTGAGCCAAACCAGTCAGGGCTGGTGCAGCCATTTAAAGGGGATGCAGTTTCATTGGTACTGTCATGGGTGGGCTCTGCAGGCTGAGTTCTATTGGCTGCACCTGTCCTCTTCCTCACAGGAGAGCAAGGGCTGGTTAGGGGATTTAGTCATTGGGCTTTTTTATTTTTTTAGTCATATATTTTTGTGTTTCAGACCTCTGTCGAGTGGCTAACATATATAATATAAATAAGGTAATGGGTTGAGCTATTTTATTTCAGTCATTTTTTTAGCTACTGGCTTTTGGTGCATTATCTTTTAGAGAACTTATTTTTTTCTTTAGACATGCTCTTGTGTAACATAGGACATATTAATCAATCTCTCTAACCCTTAGTTTTCTCACTTAGAAAATGGGTATAATATTACTAGCTATTTGAAATAATTAAATACCATATAATAAGCATTCATTAAGCATTATCTCTTATCACATAGATATTTGTTATACAAATTCAGATTTAAAATTTAAAAAAAAATATTTTATTGATTTCAGAGAGTAAGGGAGAGGGAGAGAGAGAGATAGAAACATCAATGATGAGAGAGAATCAGTGATCGGCTGCCTCCTGCACGCCCCACACTTGGGGATGGAGCCCACAACCTAGGCATGTGCCCTGACCTGGAATGAACCATGACCCCTAGGTTCATAGGTTGCCACTCAACCACTGAGCCACTCTGGCCGGGCCAGATTCAGGTTTTAAATAATTTATTAGTTTTCTAGACATTCTTAATCTAGACACAGGCCCCTAGGTAGTCTCTTTGAGTTTAAGAGGTCCTATAAAATTCCTAAAATTGCTTGGCAAGTCTTATATGTATGAGCAGTTTTTCTGCAGAGAGTATACTTTTCAACCATAGATGCTAATCACATTCCTAAAATGTTGAAAAAAACTAAATATTAAGATTAAAAGCTGGTAGGTCATTTAAAATCAGCTAGCTGTTTGTTAAGGAGGCAAACTAACATTGAGCATTACTTTGTGTCCAGGCACTTTGCTACTCTTTTGATCCATTTAATCTCCACAACAATCTGTGATATTTATTTAATTGTGCAGATGAGAAAACTTGAGGTTTGCATTTGTATAAAATCTTGCCCTGAGTGAGTGGCAGAACTCATGAACTTACCCCGTTTTTACATAATCTTCACTGGTCTCATGGCGCCTTCTCCCCGTGACCCTGCAGTGATGCCTACCTTTGCCTCCACTTTACTAGAAAGTTCCGGAGCTCACATGCTGCTCAACATTGGTATAGAAGAGGACTTCTGCCACTGAGAGTTTACAGGCTGACCCTTACCTTGAACAGATGGACAGTGGTGCTAACAGTGTGGTGTGAGAACCCTTTTTTTCAGTATCAGTAAATTTTGTTTTCCTGTTGGCACTTGTGGTGGTGATATCTTTAGTATCCTTTTGTTTAAAAAAAAAATGCTTGACCAACAGCTACTGTGAGTTCCCATTCATTCATCTTAATAGCATCTACAGTTGACCCTTGAACAACGCGGGAGTCAGGCCCCTCCTAAAGTAAAAATCCATATAACTTTGACTCCCCTAAAACTTAAGTTGTCCTTCGGTATCTGTGGGGGGATTGATTCCAGGACCCCTGTGGATACCAAAATCCGAGGATGCTCAAGCCCCTATACAAAATGGCATGGATCAATTTATACTGTCAGCCCTCTACATCTGCTGACTCCCCACTGCAGATAGAAAACTACAGTATTTATTGAAAAAATTCAAGTCTAAGTGGACTCGTGCACTTCAAACCCATATTCTTCAAGGGTTAACTATGATACACATTTGAAAAATATTTCCTGTAGTCTGATTTGTTAGCCTGTGTGTTTGTTTCAGGTAAAACTTGGTACATGTAAGAAATTGGGTTTTGCATTTCCTTTGGAATAAATCCATTCCCCCATGTAGATAAACCCGCCCATTAACAGAGATGGGAAACTAGGGCCCAGTGACTTTCCCCAAACCCCCTGGCTCATATGGGGCTGCTTAGGACAGAAGCCAGGCCTCCTGGGTCCCTGGTTAGTGCTCTTTCTACTTCTCCTACTGAATTACCTCCACCCGTAA